CCTAAGTCGCGCACACACACACACACACACACACGGGTCAATGCTAATGACATACAACAGACTCACTGCTGCTGTTAGCCTGTACTGTAAAGCTACCGGCTATGCAAACACTTGTAACCACCGCAGGTCATTATTCAAAGTATGATACATGCAAACACAAATACACACACTTAAAGCACAGACGGCTGAACAAAGACAACATGCACATACAACGTTAGATTTCCGACGAATCTGATTCAGGGACACAGAAGGTCCTCTTTGTGATACTGAGAGTGAAATGAACGCGAATGGAGCAAGTTCTTGGAACATTTGTACAAAAATAAAAGCTGCTCTTCTCTGAATAGACATGATGTCATCAAAACAACAACCAGTAGATCTATTTTTGGATACTTTCTTGTGGGGTACTTCCCTGTTTCTGGTCTTTCAGATAGAACTAGATGAATGACTGAAGCGGAGGTGGATGAGCCGAGGTTTGTATTTATCACAGATGATCTGCAGGCCGACTGACAGTGGCCGATGTGGTTCGTCCTGTTCTGATGACACGAATACGTACGGCTTGGTTCTGTTTGACACTATATCTTCTTTTTTTTCTTTTTTTTTTTAAAAAGGCACAATTAACAGCGATCATTAGGGGAGTAGGCGTGTTTGGTTATAATATGGAGGTAAATATTTGTCATGAACCTTATTTAAACACCATATATACATCCTCATAAGAAAAGTGGTCCTCTTATCAGTTAACAGATCCATCCCATTCCCATGTCACAAATACGGACAGTAAATATGTGTCATTACAACTAGAGCCTTACCGATAAATCAGCCAGCATATATTAGCATATCACATGACTATTGATATCGGCTACTTTGTCACAGATATTACTCCATTTATTCACCAGTCAAATAACATTTCATTTGAGTTTCATTACACTAGCAGCTCAGTTTTAACCAGCAGAGGGCGCTATATGGATCACAACAAGTATCGTCACTCTCCAGTGTGTTGAGCGGTGAGGGTCGTTCATGCTCATAGTGACCATCTAAATATTTTTTCCACCAGTGTTTGATAACTGCATCACAGCTTGCCCACATTCTAGGTTGACTGAAAGAGTTTTTCAACATGGCGACAGCCAACAATGGACTTCACAAGTGCACATAAAAGGCAGGGTTGGTCATTTTCGAAAAACTAGCATGATTTTGAAAGTAGCATTCCCTCTGTGCTCCCTCAAAAGCCACTTACATACACGAGCGCAGTTGCTCCAGAAGTGGAAACTACGTCGTCTCATGTCTCATTCAGCGATAAGTAAACTCTCAGTATAAACTCTTAAAGTCATCAGTGACTAGATGTAAGTGTGGGCTAGAGCACGCAAGGGGTAGAGAACGAGCAGGGAGACAGGGAGGCGTCTGATTGGTTCATCGTGGCAGATATTGGTTGAAGTTTTTACAGGTTTACAAACTGCTACAGATGATGGATTTTCTTTGTTCCTTTTTCAGAGAACATGAGTTATTAATTTCTGTCAGGACCTAAAGACAATTTGAACCCAAATCTTACAAAGTGGATCTGGAGGAAATAACCAACCCTGCCTTTAAGAAACCAATGGGTGAAGTCACTGAGACTACGTCCATATTTGATACAGCCTCTGGTCTAATGCCTTCTCCTCAGCAGCCCCGGCTTTATTCATGATGGACAGAATGTACACGGCTAATGTTACTGTTATTCAATTACGATGTACAGCCTGAGCAGCATTAGTACCACTCTGCTTCAAGGTATCAACATAATGTATGACCACGACAGAGGAGTCTGATGGACGTCAAAAACAAGATCAGCGCAAGGACAGCCGAGCCGAGCGAGAGGTTGTGTGAGGTCACTGACGGCAGAACAACTCCCTGCAGATTCAAATATGGACAAGTGTAAAAATAACAGAGAAAATATGAAATTGCAGACACACCACCTCCACAGCTGCCATCATGAGTAAATACCCCAAAACCAGAAATACCACAGAGAAGTAAGAGAAACTATCAGCGAGCGGCTGCTGCGAATGAAGCGGGGACGGCTCCCACACACACACACACTGCTGATTTTTCAGGATTAGCCTGCCAGCATCCTGCCAATCCACCATTTATCTCCCTCGTGAACAAAAGGCCCCACACTGGCACTGAATGACACACACACAAGCCTGGAATGGGAGACATTTCTTGGCTGCGGCTGTCATCTTGCTATAGAGGTGACTGGGCTGCTGGGAAAACTCTGTGGTAAAAAAAACAAGCTGATGCCCACCTCTCCAATTTATACATCCATCTGTGTGTGTGTGTGTGTGTGTGTGTGTGTGTGTGTGTGTGTGTGTGTGTGTGCGGCTACAGCGTCCACTTCTGTTTCACTACAGCACACACAAGTCAATGTTTTCCACAGGACTCAATGCCAAATAAATCGTGTTATCGTTGTCATCTACAGAGACACATGCACAAATACATCTCTTGTTTCTTTAGACATGAAAATATAATGATTCATTCATGAACACTGCCTTTCTTCGCCGTTGGCCTATAATTAGGCTGTGCTAGTACACGCTGTATTGTCCAGAAAACCACACGCTGGTTTAATTATACTCCGAAATACATCGGGTTGCAAGGTCACTGTGACGAGTATAATGCCATCCAAACACACTGCTAAGAATGAGCCTGTGGGCAGGGCTTCCTAAGATTGTCTGAGTCAAAGAGTTTCAACATACAGTACTAATACTTAAAGCAATAAAAGGTCATTTCTGGGGAACAAACAAGTCATGCAGAAGTTCCTCATGTGTCTTATTGGAAGCTATGTAATGATCTTGCATTGCCATTGAACTTCCCCTCTGCTCGGTGGTGATAACAGTGGTGTCAGTGGGAGGATGACAGGAGACAGGACATAGCATGAGTAATCCGATCAAGTTCTTTTTTCCACATTTTAGTGGGAGTGAAGGCGGTGGGGGGGGGGGGGGGAAGCAGAGAGTGCAGGTGGAACACATCTGAACTGATCATTGGTGCTTCATGGACACCTGCACAGATTGACAGAATGACATGCAGCTTTTTCTGAATACAGCTTCTGAAGCTGCACCTGTAAGAACCCATTAGTTCAGCTAGCTGATCGGAGTGGAGGAGGAAGTTCAGACAGTGTTTACTCTGTGAGCTCTGCAGCTGGTACACATGCCAACAGGGCAGAGAACAGCAGGAAATATAACTGGATTACCCCCTGGCTGCGCCATACGGTTCTTTGTCAACATTGGTTAATGACTCTGGGATGAATCCATTTATCAACTTGCCCTTAAACAAAGAATCCTGTGTCTTCAAACATTTAAAATTACTACATTTGAAAAACCTGGAGTTTTTTCTTATTATTTCAACAATTAATTGGCCCATCCATCCATTACTACACCCATTATCCCGTTAGGGTCGGAGCTGATTCCAGCTGTCATTGAGCAAGGGGGGGGGGGGGGGTACACTATGGACTAGTCTCCAGCCAATCACAGAGCTGACATACAGAGACAACCAACTAGTCACATTCACACCGACACACGGTTAACCTACCGGGCGAGTCTTTGGGCGGTGGGAGGAAGTCCACGCATGCACGGGGAGACCATGCAAACCCCACACAGGCAGGCTATGTCCGACAAAGGTTTGGAACCAGGAACCTTTCAGTGAGGTGACACACTTCACCAAGCAGCTCACCATCAATTGATTAAAAACTCTGTCAATCCTCGGCAGAATTGTTGGACAAACTGTGTTAGCTGAAGTATAGGTAAGAAGGTAAAGAAGCAAGACAGTAGGAAGTGAGTTATGACGGAAAAAAGGACAGACCATAATGATCCAACAGCTGATCAGCAGCAGGCCTGCACACATCACTTCGGGGACGGTCGACAAATTGGGTCAGTAGTTCTGAGAGTAGCACAGTTCACTACTTTAACGGTTAATTTTACTTTGCAATCCAACCAATCAACACATCTGTTCTAAAAACGGGCCAGCCAATCAGATTACAGGGCACATACAGGGAATGAGAAGCATCTGTTACATGCACTATGTATGCACAGTAGGTACAAGAGGGAATCCATTGTGCATTGAATGGTGATCAAAATGAGCATCCAGTTTGAGGACTGAGGTAAACCGAGGCCACTACAGAAGTCCGAAATCACAGGAAATGAATTCAGTTCAACAGAACAGGAAATCGTTGAGGTGCGTTGACGTTATAGAGGCAACATGTTGACTTCCCCATGAGGCTCGATAGTCTATCACTAACATCATAATGACAATCTTTATAGATGGGGAGCCAGGTCCAGCCCTCAGGATGATTTTTGCTTTCTGTTGGCATGCACCTTAGGCCATCACAAAATCATAAACACCACTCCCAACTCGAGGCCGTTTGGTCTCCAGGGCCAAAAAAAAACCCTTTTTTGAAAGATGCTTTTGGCTACATGATGTCAGTGACTGCCCATTCAGAGTTACTACAATGGCATAAATAGTCAGGATGTGGTGTCCCAGCCGCTTTGACGGGGTGTGTCCTGAAATGTATTGTAGCTCACCATGTTCTGATTTCACTTAGCAGATGATTTAAGTACAACACAAGCGAGAAGAAGACATGAGGAAACAACATCAATAAGTGCAACAAACTGAAGTGACACAAGCAAACAACAACACAGTCGAGACCTTTCCCTTTAACTGCCCCGACAAGTTCCAAAAGGGCTTCACCTGAGCAGGATATCGAAGGTACTGCAGTGAGAGTGCACACAGCAGCTGGTGCAACACTGATCTCTGACATGAAAGCCGAGCATGCTGACTGACTTCCACGCATTCCCCGCCTGTCAGGACGAGGCCCACTCTCCCAGATTCCCGCCAAGTCAGCACTCTGCTGCTGCTCCTCTACCAATAAGGCACACGGGCGTAAAAAGACGCACACACACGCACACAGCAGCAGCACAGGTAAAAGTAGGTCGAGATAATTACAGGATACAACATGTTCCCACACATAAAGGCAGAGGTTTTACCTGCCGTTTCCTGAAGTCTCTTATTTCCTGTGCCTCCGCTCCTTACAGGTGGTGTCTGGACAGCGGCTGGGACACTGCATCTGATTGGAGAGAGGGAAGAACAAACTGACTGTTAGAGGAAGGGGGGGGGGGGGGGGGTTGACCTCAAAATGTAATAGATGTCTTTGTATGTGTGTTTGTTGGTAAGAAAAAGGAGAGCACGTTTAAGAACAAGTTGAGGAGACGGTCAATACACAGACAGTGGAAAAAAGTGATTGAAGTGATTCCACACAGAGAATGAGAACAGAAAATCCTCTGAGTGAGAGTCTGCACTTTGCTCAAGTGGACATCACAGTAAGTACACTCCCACCCCCTAAACGGGGCCCCCAGCTGCCCCGTCATACGAGATAAGACAACAGAAAGTACAGAGCCCTCACAGCAAAGTGCCCCCTCTGACCTCTCTTCACTCTCCCTCTTCTTACACAATCCATCCCCTTTGATTTACTGAATTCAAACATGTAATAGTACAGTGAGTGGATATACTAATGTCACACCTTGTACTGTAGATGCGTCCACTCTTACTGCAAGAAAACATGACCTCAGTCTGATTTTTAACTTTAAAACATGTCCGATTGTGTTTCATGCAACAGCGATTGTCATTGTGAGAACAGCTGCATAGGACTAAAAGTGGAAAGAGTGAATCATGCACTTGTTTTTCACTCATGCTCTGATACATCTGCTTGTTGGTTCATCAGAGTTTCCGTAATTAAAAACATCCCTGCAGGATGAATATTCCTGTTTGTGTAATCTTATTAAGTCGGCGATTACTTAACTCTCATTTCAGGCATTCAGACTGGAGCTACGGGTAACTGCAGACAGTATTCAAAGTGTTCATTTACGAGGTGTGGATGTCAACGGACTGAAGGCTGCTGGTGCTAGCAGCGCTAATGTTAGCCACCCTCTGCAAACCGAGACCTGCAGAGCAATGCAAAGTGCCTCACGTTTTAGCAGCATTTAGCAGATCGAAGAATGGGATTCAATTTCTGAAAAATAAGCTGAATGTGATGTTGTTTTTAGTCATGTTGAGTACTTTCCTTAGCTTCAGACAAGTGGACTGTAGTCTAAATTGAAACCTCTGTGTATTCGTCATGGTCATTATTCATCCCTCATGTAAATATAGGTTCTGCTGTGTCGAGCTTCTTAAAGGTCTTATTAAGTTCCTCAAAGGTCATGACCTCTTGTGTGTCTGCATATGTGATACAGAGAGCCCATAGGCCTCTCAATCAGTACCATCTCTCTGCAGTTCTAATAGCTTCAATCATCAAACGCAACAAGTGATGCCGTAAACAAATATAGTGTGATCAAGGGTGTGCAGCGAACCCTTTACACGCTGATGACACGCAATGCAAACACTCTGATTGAGGCCGGTAAACTTCCTGTTCTTCCCCAGCGGTCATGATGCCATATCTTGTTTACCGGGGTGTGACACAGACTGGTTCACAAAAACAACCCCAATGCTCTAGTGTGTGTGTGTGTGTGTGTGTGTGTGTGTGTGTGTGGGGATGTGTCACAGTGATATTTATACCCTTCTGATGGGCTTGAAGAAAAATCCAAACAAAAGAGGTAAAACATTTCGGTTTCCCCCAAAAAGGCGAGAAAAAATATTTAAAGTCACCCTCGAACACAACTACAGTGGTATTACAGAGGGGGGGGGGGGGGGGGGATGACCAGCTCCAGGAAGTGTGCTGTTTAACACAATGATACAATCTCAGGCCAGAGAGAGTCAATGTTTAACTCCCTGACTGGATTCATCTCAAAGCATCACATGATCCACACAGACACACAGATAATTCACTATAGAGTGCTTCAGTGATGACATAACAGCTGGAGGGCAAACACCAAAGTTAGCTCTGCTTCTGTTTTCTGGAAACAGTCTCGCTCTTACGTCGATGGGTATCTTGAAGGGGGGGGGGATGCTGAAAATAATCAGTTTATTGACAGATTGTAAGTTGTTTCATATTTCATTGAAGCATGAAAATTGGGTTAATTTCTTGTTTTTTAGCAACTGAGTTTCCTAAGGCTCCGTTTTTTTCCTCAGTTTTTATCCAAGCAGCGACCTCGGAGGTTGAAAAATGAAGCCGATGCTGAAGTGCAAAATCCTGACGATTTGTGAGGAGGCTTAAAACCAGCCTCAGCTCCAGCTCTCAGCCTGACTTGACTATTGCCACGACAAGACAAGGGAGCAATGGGTGAAGATACACAGCCGTGACTGGAAGCTTCCCTGTTTGTTTTGCTGATATGTCACTTGACGCGACGCCTGTGCAGCTGTCAAACTGTGGTAAGGGGTATACATGCCACAGTATCCAGTTTTCACTTCGGTGGCTAAATCAGGTTTCTCAAAGACGAAATAAGGGCTTGTCCTGGTTTCTGAAATCAGGATATGATGTTGACATGCACAAACACAAAATCAGGATATTCAAGTCCATGTAAACACACACAAGTGACAAAGTTCATCAACTGCAGAATTGGCGCTCAAAACTGAGAAACCAACAGTGCACCTTGTTTGTTCAAACAACTATTCTCTATAAATCTGTTGTTTCGAGGGACAACAGCGCTGTGAAAGCTATTTACAGTTACCTCAGTGGTTTCTAACACCAGAAGAATTGAAGTTTACACGTGCACCTAAAAAAATTTTGGGCAGAGCCTCCCCCTGAAATTATCCCTCTTATCATTGAACAAACACCAGAGTGAGGATATAACTCTGATCTGACTCTCTCTCCACAGATACCCCTTCCACACACACACCCTTCCTCTCCTTCACTCATGCTCTGGTACAGGAATGTGAGGAATGCTAAAATGCTAAATGACCGTGGGCTTTAGCCGCCAAGTTTCTCCCAGTCCCTCACCTTGGACCACTTCCATATGCACTCATCCAAACACACCCTGTTTTTTTTAACCCGTATGTCTTTTTTTTTTTTTTTTTTTTTTTCTTTTGTAAATTGTGGGTCAGTCACAATCACATTCTTAATGTTTGTACAACTGGGCTGGGGAAAAAGACAGATGGTGCCTCCAGTTGTAAAGAGAGAAGTTATGACCCTGAGGTCATCAGGGTCAGAAAACAAGCATCATAAACCTCCTGCAGGCTCCCATCATGAGGCCGCACCATTTCCTATTTACTGCACAAGCAATCCCACCCCTGGCAGCCCTGCAGCGCTCTGCTCCACAAAGGTGGACAACTTTTGGAATTCATTCAAAGCTGCTCTATCGGTTTCACAGACTGTTAACATGAAAGGTGAAGATGAGATCTTTAATGAAAGGGACTCATTGTTTGTGAAAATGCAGAAAGGCCTCCAACTCCGTCCTGAAGCTTCATCTGATCTTAATATGTTTGACCTGTCTGTGTGACTGGTGGACCCTTCCCTTTAAAGAATCAAGGACTTAAGATTAACACATGCATGTGACACAAAAGAAAATGTATGAGGATGCATTAGGGATCAGGAAAGTGCACATTCTCCAGGGGTTGCTAGTAAGCGCTCAGAATTCAGGCTAATCAGCCTGAGAAGTCCCAAAGGACCACAGCAGGAAGAGACGCTGTTATAGCCAGTTATTCGATGTGCAGCTTTAGAGAGCCGGTTCAGCTCAGTGGGTACAGCAGACGCCCCATGGACAGAAGCAGAAGTCCTCAGTACCCTGGTGTCTGGTTTGACTCCCAGCTGGTGACCGTTTTAATGCATGTCATCCCCCCACTCTCTCTTCAGCTGAGAAGAGGACTGGCTTAAAGATCATCTAAAAAACTGATCAGTGAATATTCAGTCTCACAGCTAAATCTGACAACAGCCACCACATTCATTGTTTGACGGTTCCTTTTACGATCGCATTTGTAAAATTTACATTTGAAAGGCTTACTATTACAGTTATGTGGTAAAGTGTTGACAGAGTTACCTAAGCCCCTTACATACATGCACTGCACTCCTGAAAATCTGAGAAAGCTACATGTGTGGACGCAAATGGCCAAAAGTGTTCACCTCCTAGGACTTTTTTCCTTAAGCAAAATGTTAACGTAGCAGGTAACAGTCTGGTAGCGTTCATCGTGAGTCGGGTGATGACGTGGTTCAGTTTATCTTCTTCTTAACTGCCCGTGACAGTTTCCTGTATAACGTTCTCTACTATTGCGTTTCTTTAACGTGAAGTTACGTCGTTACACATGTCGTAGTGATGTTAACCCAGAATCAGTCATATTTACAAAAAGCTCCTCCTTCTCCTCCTGCACACACCACCCACGCCTCCCTTCACCTGAAACAAACTGATTCTTTAAAGCTATGAAAATGTGTCAGACACCGACAAGCTCCCCCCGCCCGCTGAGGTACATGTGTGAAAGACATGAAACGAAATGTCAGATGCAAATGTCCTGAAATCATCTCGAAAAATGTCAGGAGTGCATGTGTGAGAGGGGTTCTAGAAAATGTTTTTTTCAGCCCTGGAACTTAAAACTAAAAACTATTCTTAGATAAATGATTCATTCTGTAAATACGCAGGCCATCATTGAATTAGAGAATCTTGAGTTAGTCCTACTTTTATACCAGAGTTTATCACAATCAAAGCAGCAGCTTCATAGTGATATGCAAACATAAGTACAACTCGGTCAAGCACACGGCACAGGATGTCAAACTCGTCCAATCAGAGAAGAAACATTTTTCCTTGTGAAGTCAATCTCTGGAAAGCGTAAAGCAAAGGCGATTAAGGTAATGGGCTCAAAACATGCAAAAAGGAATGCAGGAGGAATGCACCAGAGCACACATCTCACACACTCCCCTCACCAAATGTGGTCTGAGTGGCCGTTGCATTTGATTGGCGTCATCACTGCCTCGCCGTAAACAAAAGGGCACTGTGTGTTCATTTCTAAAAAAAAAAAAAAAAAAAACAATACACACCCACTCGTTGGCACAGTGGGATGTTTACAAGTCTTCGACACAGAAAAACATCATCCAAGTTGAGTAACAGGTCTTTCATATGCAGCCATTCAATATGTGTCTGTCTATACCTATGGCCTGCACACACCTCTTCCTGCTGTCACACTTTATATAGCTTCTTGCCTCAGCCT